AGGAAAAAAATTTACAGCAAACCTTGTGGAGAAGTTCATCGAAATTTCTGATTTCATACAGCTGAACAAATCAAACAACTCTTATTTGAACAGGATAAAAAACATATTTAAGTTGCTTGAAAAGGATGAAACAGGTAATTGTACCTTGAGAAAAATAATGAAAACCCAACACTATTTGAAAATTTACAAAATATAAGCAAATGAGAAAAAGCTTAGCAGCTCTAAAGCTGTTCTGCGTGTTTTTGTTTCTAGAAAAGTAACTTCAGCCATTCATATCATTAAAAACCAGCAAAAATTAGTATTTGGGACTGCATGGCTGGGCTGCTCCCAGAATCACAATCTTCAGAAAATACTTGGCATTTATACTCCAACAGGAAAACTGGATCTTAAGTCTTTTTAAAAAACTTAATATTTTGAGACGTAAAGTTGCAAATTCCTTCCATAACAGAGCAAAAAATAATAGTGCCTTTCCAGCGATAAGTCACAATGAAATAATCTAGAAGAAACCAGCCAAGGTGGCTACCCAGTGCTCTGGATGTGTACCAGGAATCTGGCTCACAGACACCTGAGGACACTGTATCTCCGAAGAATCCACCTACTCTCAGAATAAAGGTCCTGCTTTAAAAGAATTTATTCTAAAATACTCTTTTATGAAAAAATTTCAGGTACTCCATAGACTGGACTCCTAAGGATAACAAATATGATTAAATCTGCATTTCTCAAAAACCTAGTTCAGGTTCAAGGCCAAAATGATCACCCTTCTCCACGAGCACTGCCTAATATAATTCCTAATAGGGTTACAAGCTCTGTTAAAATCAAAAACAGTTTTAGCCATTTGGTCAGTGACAAATGATTTAAAAAGTACTTGACACAAAAGTATAGTTCTCGTTTCTTTTTGCAAAATATTAAATAAATTCACTTTGGGGCAACACTCAAATTCCACATATTCTGCAATGCACTGCACAGAATGCACTTCTGTGACTCCAAAGAAACGCATTATAGTCAGGGAAGGACCACAATATAACAAAGAAAAAACCTATGAAAACTAGATGTTGGCAAAAAAAAAAAAATCAAGAAATATAATAGAGCCCTAGCTGGTGTGGCTCAGTGGACTGAGTGTCAGCCTGAGAACCAAAGGGTCGCCAGTTCAATTCCCAGTCAGGGCACATGGCTGGGTCAGGGTCAGGTCCCCAGGTGGGGATGTGTGACAGGAAACCAGATAGATGTAACTCTTACACATGGATGTTTCTCCCCCTCTTTCTCTCTCCCTTCCCCTCTCTCTAAAAATAAATAGTATCTTTAAAAAAAGAAATGTAATAGAAAAAGAAATAACAAAAAGACAAACACTTTAATTCAACTTTTAAGAGTCACTGTGACAACGAAGAAGCAGGAGGCACAAACCACTGATCTGAATAAATGCCCGTTAAATACAATGATGACTTTCTGTGGGAAAAGAGGACCCACAAATCTTACGTTTTTCACTTTTAGTTAGGGAACAGACTTTTCCCAGAAATACCTACAGAAGAGGAACTTGCGTTTCTTTTAGGTAATAATTTTCAAAAGATTATACCATATAGCAACACTCAATAAATATTCATTACCACTGTATATCAACCAAATATTCTGATACAATAAAGATATGAAAACAGCCTACAAATCTAGCAATTAAGAGGAAAATGAGCAACTAAAATATAAAAAAAAAAAAAAAATACAGCCCTGGCTGGTGTGGCTCAGTGGGTTGAGTGTCATACTGCAAACCAAAAGGTCCCACCAGGCCACATGACTGGGTTGTGGGCCAAGTCCCCCACTGGGAACATGTAAAAGGCAACCAATCAATGTTTCTCTCCCTCTCTCTCTCCCTCTCTCCCTCTCTCTAAAAATAAATAAATAAAATCTTTAAAATGAAATAAATAAAAACAGAAAGTCCATGACACCACATACCGCTGACACTGGCTAAGGAGCAAGAAGAATTAGAAGGACATCAGTATTCTGGAAAACAAAACAGCAAATTAAAAAGGTCTGAAAAAAGAGGAAATGTAACTACTTCAATATAACTATCACAAAGGAGTGTTGTTGAGGTGAGGAAGGGAAAGAAGGAAGAAGAGGGGGAGAAAAATGGTTAAGGATGGCCAAAAATGATGCTGTAAAAATCCACTGTGAGAATTCCACTGTAATTTGACTCATATTAAGGAGATAATCAACAGAACAGAGTGACATTTAAACTACTATGAAAAGCATACTCCATTTATTCAAGAAGGTAGAGGAGAGCGCAAACATGGTAAAAAGACACCGGAGATCTCTCCATACACATGCATGCACCCATGTGCACGCACACATACACACATGCCCCTTCTAAAAATGGAAAATACAGTGTCTGAGATGAAAAATTCACTGGGTAGGTAAACAATATATTAGATACTGCAGAGGAAATCATTAGGAAACAAGAAGAGGCACCAACAGAAACTACAGCTATGGTACATTTATGCAAAGGGATACTACTCAGCCATAAAAAAGAAGAAAACTTTACCCTTTGCAACAGCATGGATGGACCTGGAGAACATTATGCTAAGTGAAATAAGCCAGTCAGAGAAAGACAAGTACCATATGATTTCAGGACAATGTATGAATCAAGAAACAAAACTGCAAAGTTTCAGAATACTGGGAACAAAACCAACACTCTACTGAATGCCAAAGAGAAAAACAAGCCATATACAAAGAAAAAGGTATCAAAATAGCTTCAGACCCTTCAACCATAACACTAAACCAGTGCCTTCAAAATTCTGAATTACTATTATTTACAAATGAGTATTGTTACCCAGCCAAATTATCATTCAAGAATATGGAAGAGCCCTGGCTGGTGCAGCTCAGTGGATTGAATGTCAGCCTGCAAAACAAAGGGTTGCTGGTTCGCCTCCTGGTCAGGGCACATGCCTGGGTTGCACACCAGGTCTCTGGTTCACAGTGTGTGAGAGGCAATCATTTGATTGGAAAAAGAAGAAGAAGAAAGAAAAGAATATGGAAGAGTAAAGACATCTTCAGACAAACAAGGTCTACCACACACCTCTTTTCAGGAAACTTCTTAAGGACTTATTCCATCACCACGAGCACATAAAGCAATATGGGCAAAAGAGAGGGATGGGGTACTCTTTATCCATTACAAATTTTATGTATTCAGTTGCATATATAACTTTGATGAAAATAAATCTAAACAAATTAACCAAACACAATAAAGGAGATATGCATAATTTTTGCAAGTCAAAACTGAACATTTAGATATGTGAAATTATATTTTAAAACCTAATATTCTTTAAAGTAAGCATATTATTATAGATGGAAGAATCTTTTTTTATCCTAACCCAAGCATATTTTTTAATCGCTGTGAGCGGAGGGAAGAAACAGAGAGAGAGAAACGACTGGTTGCCCCCTGTACATGCTCTAACTGGGATGACAGAACCCACAACCTAGGGATGTGCCCTGACTAGGAATCAAACCTGCCCCCTTTCAGTGTACAGAATGACATGCTAACCAACCAAGACATACTAGCCTGGGCAGAGGAATTAGTTTTTTAATTAGACAAAGTAAATTAAACATACTAAAATTCTACTAGCAATATTAACTTTTATAGCTTTGCTGAGAAAAGTTGAGCATTAATAACTGATGTAAACAAGAGGTTCATAAATGAAGCAACAAAAACCTGCCTGTCAATTACATACAAAAGAAACAAAGATGTAGAACAATCCTTAAGCAATAAAGTTCTTGATTTTAACCATCCACAAAGAAAGCTGACTGTACAAAAAAACCTTCCAGAAAATAATGTTCTACACTCCTCTTTGTCAAAAGATTTCACCAAAACACAAATGCAACAGACAATGGAGCAAGAGAAGGAGAGTGCAAAGGAGAGAGAAAACAGAGCTGATACCTGCATATAACACATAGTTAAACAAGGAGAAAAATCTCCACGTGGCGTCAGGATACTGTTACCTTACTACCTCCACCATTCCCGTTACAATTAAGCAGATTTAATCACTACATTTATCTTTAACGTTACTTATGCATACAATAATGCACATGGTAGTTTTAATAAACATCATTCTCAACAATTTAGAGAATTAATGAGAAGTAACTGTTTAAAGAAGTACTGTAAGGAAGATTTCCCAACTTCTGGCTAAACTTTAAAAACATAATGGTATTAAAGTATTTTAATATCCTCTTTTTAAAAATATTTTAAAGTATTCAAATAATATTAATAGGATTGTTTTTAGTACACATGAGAAAACATGGAATGAACACAGCCAAGTTAATGAGAAAATAGAACCTTTAGAAAGCTCAGATCATTAGGCATCCAAATAGCAGATTTAATTTAAAAATGTACTTGATTTAAATAAAAAAATTAAACATGATCTTTAAATACAACATTAAAAAGCATTCATTATTAAAGCAGAGATCCAAAAAAAGCAGAGGTCAAAAACCAGAAAGTATTCTTCTGACACAGCCGGAAATGCAAATGGCACACTCATCTATAATCAAGATAATGACGAAACACCAAGCTCTCCAAGGCAGTAAGTATAATGGAGAGGAAGAGCAGAGACATGAGAACAGCAGAGACCTGGGGAACACCCAGAGAAGAAAGGTAAACCAGAAACATCACAAAAGCGGCACAGTCAGCAAGGGAGGGGTCTGGGAAGAGCAGTGCCATTAAAACCATGAGAGAAGCGGGCTTCCAGAAAGAGCCAGCCAAGTCAGAGGCTAAACCAAGATCAAAGAAGAAGAAGATAAATCAAAAACACAGCAGAAAGTGAATGGCCATATTGAATTGGTTAAGATTACCTACTTCCATCCCAACTGACAAGACTAAGAGTTTATCTTGGGGGGAGGAGGAGAAGAGGTATAGACACTTAGAGAAAAACAGACTTTAGTTATCATTCTTGCTGTCTGTAGTCCAAGACCAATAAAAGAGAGACTTTCTGAATGATTTGTTTCTTCTAAAAGGATACACTCACCAAACTGTGGAGCAGGCAAGATCCTAGCCGCTCGAATTGGGCCATGTCGAACAGAAAAGAGCTCCTGAGCTTCCCCACTGATCTGCATGGAAAACAGAAAAAGCATTGCAGTAAATGAAAACACAGGTCAGTACACAATCATATGAAAACAAGATTCTTAAGTGTCATCACAATTTATTATCTGAAATGTAATTCACACACACTCATACACATTTATGGTTGATCATACACATTAAATATATTCATATCCTAAGTTATTCTTAAAAATTATAAGAGCATGCACTTGATATGACTAGAAGAACAAATGGTCTGCCCTGAATTCCATAATTTTCATCTTTAATAAATGACTAAGTCAGTTCAGTTCCTGCATGACTGCCTTGCATTTTAAAGCAAAACAACTATGGGTTTTTTTTTTATTAGCATCCAGTTTTCCATGTAAGTAAAAGATAAATATTCTTAGATATTTTTTGCCCTGGCTGGCGCAGCTCAGTGGATTGAGCATCGGCCTGTAAACCAAAGGGTTGCTGGATCAATTCCCGGTCAGGACACACGCCTGGGTTGTGGGCCAGGTCCCCAGTTGGGGGCATGCAGCAGGCAACAGGTCCATGTTTCTCTCGTACATCCATGTTTCTCTCTCTTTCTCCCTCCCTCCCCTTTCTCTAAAAATAAATAAGTAAAACCTAAAAATATTCTTAGTTATTTTTAAAAGAAGATCTTAAATGTTGTACTAACTTTCACAAATATGTTGTAAAAGGAAAGGCAAAATGTATTGCAAACACTGAAGTGAAATGTCAGTGATCCAGTTACCAGTTATGGTTCTGAAACTAACTAGCTATTAACCACCTTGAGTAAATCATTTAACCTCTATAAACTTTTTAATGTTCTTTCTTCTTTCTTAAACACATTTTTAATAAAAATATATACATTCAAGATGTACAATGGGATGATTTGATATGCATATACGTAGTAAAATGATAACTGGGGTCTCTCCTCAGAGCTACCCTCATCATGTGAGGAGAGCACCTGACACCTGTTCCTTAGGACTTTCCAGTACCCAATGCAGTCTAATTCCCTACAGTCACCACGCGTGAACCCTAGGCCTTTGCACTCATCCACACTACAGGACTCCGACTTTGCTCCATCTGACCAACACCTCCCCACTGCCCCCACTGCTCCCACTGGGAAGGTAAAGGTGCTGAAAGACATCAAACACACTTTTAATTTCCAAATTCAATGAATAAAAGGACATGTAAGCATCATTAAACATCCTCACTTTTATTATACACTAACACTGTCTGAATGCCCATTTTTTTAGTCCTATCAGATTTATTCCTCAGATATGAAGAGTACAATAATCCATTAATATAAAGGCAAAGGGGATGTACTAATACATGTGTCAAGTGTGCAAAAACAACTGTTTTTCAAAACTAGAGGGTCAAAAGAAAGTTTACTGCTAATTGGAACAGATTAAATTTGAGTTAAGAAAGCTTTCCAAACTACTTTAAGTAGTAATGTAGTTCCCAATACACTTTCATAATTGTCACGTGTTCGATGGAATAGGTAATATCCGATAGGGAAAAAGGGAAACATTGTACAACTAGTTCTAAATATCCTAGAACTTATAACAAACATCATAATGATAAACATTCAACAGAGGAAACATGATGATGGTACTTTTTTAAACAGGCCTGACAGATGAGCAGTTTAAAATATCAACAGTGTACACATTATAAAATAAAAGGCTTATAAATCTTCCAATATTAAAATATAAATCTGTAGAGCTGCCTTTTATATTAACTACTTCTTTAGATCTTCATCCTCTCTTCTATCAGAATTTAAGTGCTGTAACCTATATTTTTGTTTCTTATAAATGTTAAATTATGGTAATGCCTAAAGAGCCATCATATTCATTTTCCTTATAAGAGTCATTACAACTTATTTATTGGCCGCAATGGCAAATCCGTGTAACAGCACCTGGGACGTGGAGGGCAGGGAATGCTCGGCTCTTCGAACTCACTGTGCAACAGCACCACCTATCACCAACCAGACACACGGAGGCTATACACTCAGCAGAGCAAACCATAAGAATTTTCCTCTCTACAAATTCCTTTGTGAACATTAATTTTGTAAATGAAAACCAGGGCCATTAGGTATTGCAGCTCTTACATCTACAATTTTTATTATTATCAAGTAAAATTTAAAACTGAAAAAAACCCTTTATTTAAAAGTCACTTTGTTCAATCTCCCACCCAAAGTAGTAATCATACATTCTGTGAAATCTGAAAATCACCAAATCTAAAATCTTTTATTTTAAACACACTTTTACTGAAAGGTATATCACTAATGTAATCAATTACATTACAGATGTATTACTGGCTCTCCCCACCAAAGCTGCCAAGACATTTACTTTATGAAAATAAATTGTCTTTTAGGCAATGGATATTCTTCTGCAACACACATACTATTTCTATTAACAAGGAAATAAAAAATAGAACTTGTTGGGGGAAAGGGGTGGAAGGGGACTAAATGGTAACGGGAAAAAATACAATAAAAATAAACAGAAAAAAACAGAAAATAGAACTTGCATTGAATTTATAATTAGGATAATGAAAACCACTTCTCAGTATCACAAATAAGGTTTATACCTATAACAAATCATAGTATTCTAACACAAAATCTACTCTATACCATTATTTCCATATGCCACAGGTCTAGCATTTAACTTTTGGTTCTATCAAATAAAGCCCTAAAGTTTAAAAAAAATTAATCGTATTTAACTGAGCTCCTGTACTAAATTACACTAAAAAATAAAGAATAAAACAAACCTGTCTTGGCATGCTCACAATACAATACATGTTTGTTATCACTGGATTAATACACAAGAGCTTACTGTGATACACAAAAACATTTTGAAATCTGAACACACAATGCTTTTCAGACTAATGGCTTTCAAAACAAACCTAAATTCCAGCTTCTACTCTAAATCCCTTTTTAAATGTCCACCAACAGGTAGAAAAAAAGCATTAGGACTGATTATAAAATGCATCCTCACATTCATTACCTATCCTTCACTGCTTGTAAGTTAAGTTCCTAGAAGTTTTAATTACAACATAAGGGAAGGAAGAAGGGAAGAAACATTCTGTCACTACTTGCAGATGTTTGTGAATATGTTAAAATCTAGATTGTTACAAGCATAACTGTAAAGTATCCTAAGTGACTCACGAATGTCAAACTTCCCGGAGGCGAGAACTCTCTATGTGCAAATTCTATACTGGACGGCTATTTGCGAACAGACAGTGCTACCGAAGTGTATACATATGAGATGTGCACATTTTAGAAAGGACACAGAGAGGATGGGCATGCCCTGCTTTAGCTGCCGTTTTCAATTGCCTCTAGTATTTTATACATTGTGTTCACTGGTAATTTTGCTCTCAAATAAATAAGTGTCAAGACCTATTACATTTCTAAAGGCTTTCAAAGTGATTTTTAGGTTTCTTTAAAAAAGCTCATTGAAAATGACAAAGAATCTCAGAGATGAGGATTTTATAGATCCTGAATAGAATTACCAGGAGCTGTAAATTCACTTTTAAACCAACAATAATAATAAATCCAAGGGTAGAACTAGAAGGAAGGCGTATACCAAGCCATGTTCCACCTTCCTGGCAACTGCAGTTACTTGGGGAGAGGAGGAAACTTCTCCAATAGCTCCTCCTGGGTCTCGGCCTTTGTTCTTACTGGCATTTTAATTTCTGATGACAGACTTTTGTTGTTTGGAGCATAAACCGGACGTACCAGTTTGGAGGCACAATAAGGAGAACAAAGAATGATTTGTTCACACTGTAGGAAAAAAATCTTTTCCAACCATAGAAAATAGCTTTCGCATGGTGAAAATATGCAAATTACATACCAAACCAAAAAAGATGGGGGGAAAGTACAAGTTTAGAATCTCACAACTCAATCTAAGGCAAAAGGAAATTATAACAGCCGAGACAATAATACACACAGAGAAAAGGCTATAAAAGTTGTGGGAGAGCTTTGTAAGTACTTTTAGAGAATTCTAAAAGCAAATGAAGGTCATCGAGCCCTCAGAACCAAACTTGTCTCTGAAACCCCCATGACTTTTCAGACACATCTGACTATAAAATGGAAAATTTAATCAAAAACCAAGGACAATAATGATAACGCTTTACAATCGCACAGAATTAAGACAAGGGTACATATTTACAGCTTAAACTACCCTTTTATTTTTTTATTTTTAAATAAGTTCTCAGTTTGGTTTTTTTCTAATTGATTTTTAGAGAAAGAGAGGAAGGCAGGAGAGAGAGAGGAAAAAAACATCAATTTGCTGTTCCATTCATTTATGCACTCATTCGTTGCTTCTAGCATGTGCCCTGACCAGACGTCAAACCCACAACGTGGGCGCACTGAGACAACACTCTAACCAACTGAGCTACCTGGCCAGGGCTTTTGTTCCCCACTGCTCCCCCACCCTGCACCCCCTGCCAACTACCATTTAGGCACTGGTCAAATATAGAATTGTGGTCTGCAATTGATTCTTTTTAAGCAAACATCATTTTAAGATAACAGGTATAGAAGTAACACATAAATCATATGTATGTGTACAAATTAATAAATTCTCAATGTTAATCCACCTCTGCTACCCTCACAGACAATAACAAACAGAACATTATGGATACTCAGAAGGTCCCTCCATGCCCCTTCCTAGTCACAAAGCCATCTCAAAGAATAATTTTAACCACTATCCTGAACTTAAAATACCTGTAAGTTTTACCTGCCTACATTTATTTAAATGAAAACACGTATTGTGTATAGTACTCTCCCCTTATCTGTGGATATACGATTCCAAGACCCCCCGTGGAAGCCTGAAACCTTGGAGAGTACTGAATCCTGTATATATACTATGTTTTTTCCTATAATACATACCTATTGTAAGTTTAATATATAAATTAGTCACAATAAGAGAATAACAATAATAATAAAATAGAGCAAATATAACGACAGACTACAGTAAGAATTGTGTGCCAATATCTGTGTTTCAGGTTATCCTTTTTTTAAAAAAGA